AAGGTATTACTTTATAGGTACTTCACGATTAGCTAGCGGTTGGTGTACTTTCGGCCAAGTACTGACTACTGCATGACTCTTTTCCCTCAGTTATCAGTTGTGGAGTACGACCCCGGTACACATGACCTCAAGACATTGTCTCTTCATTATTTTGAGGAGCCAGAACTCAGGGTGAGTAGAAGCTGGAAATATACTTTTTTTTTTATTTCGGATTTGAAGCAAAACTGAGCATGTGGATTTTTTTTTTAGGATGGTTTTGTGCAAAACGTACACATACCCATTGTCCGAGTAGATCCAGAGAACCGCTGTGCTGTCATGCTCATTTATGGCTCCAAACTTGTAGTGCTTCCCTTCAGGAAGGACACTCTAACTGATGAACAGGAAGGTGGAGTTGGAGAAGGGTATGTCTGAATTTCTGCACCCATTCTGGTAATTGACTAGTCTTCATTTAGTAATAACATTGTTTGATTTATATATTTGTGTCTCCTCTTCAGACCTAAATCCAGTTTCCTGCCCAGCTACATAATTGATGTCCGTGAGCTGGACGAGAAGCTGCTAAACATCATAGACATGAAATTCCTTCACGGCTATTACGAGCCAACGTTGCTGATTCTGTTTGAGCCCAATCAGACATGGCCGGGGTAAGTTCCAAAAAAGAAAAAAACATGGAGTTGATCAAGTGTGGGCAAAACGTGGCACCCTCTAGGGGTGAGGTGTATTACCTTTTTACCTCGTTTTGCCTTTTATTTGAACACCAGCACTCCTATCTGCTCCTCCGTTTTTTCAGTCGTGTGGCTGTGCGTCAAGATACTTGCAGCATCGTTGCCATCTCCCTCAACATCATGCAGAAGGTTCATCCCGTCATCTGGTCTCTCAGTAATCTCCCGTTTGACTGTACGCAAGTCATGGCTGTTCCAAAGCCCATCGGTGAGCTTGACATTTTCTAAACAACAAACTGAAAAATATGAAGCTGCCGTGTAGTGTCATCACGTCTTATTTTTTATTTTTTTTAGGAGGTGTGGTGGTGTTTGCTGTGAATTCATTGCTGTATTTGAACCAGAGCGTTCCGCCATACGGAGTTTCCCTCAATTCCCAAACCACCGGAACCACGGCTTTCCCGCTGCGTAAGCTTTGCGACATGGAAACACACGTTCTCTATATTTCTACTCTTGATATTTGTTCAAACCTACGTGTTTTTGTTTTGCAGGTATACAAGACGAAGTAAAGATCACTCTAGACTGTTCCCAGTCTGACTTTATTGCCTATGACAAGATGGTCATTTCTTTAAAAGGGGGAGAAATGTAAGTTTGTTTGTTTTTTTAAATACACACTGACGTAAACAGTTTCATATTTTGACTGTTCATGTTGTGTTTCACAGTTACGTGTTGACACTCATCACAGACGGTATGAGGAGCGTCAGGGCATTCCACTTCGACAAAGCTGCCGCCAGTGTCCTGACGACGTGTGTAAGTTCTGCTTTGACTGAGTGTAAAATCTCTGGATGTACGCTTTTACTCCCGGTTCTGTCTAGAAGCACTCTGGGGTTTTCTCTCCCACAGATGGTGACCATGGAGCCTGGCTACCTTTTCCTCGGTTCCCGCCTCGGAAACTCTCTGCTCCTGAAGTACACAGAGAAACTTCAGGACACCGCAGTGGAGGAGAGCAACGAGAAGCACGAGAGAGACAACGATAACGAGAAGCAGGTGAGTTTGGTTTTGTTATCTGCTCTGCTGCTTATGTTATTTGTGTTGTTATTATCTAAGATTTAGATCAGTTTTTTTTTTTTCAACCTTGGGGTCGCAAGAATAACCATGCAAATAAATTCAGGTTGGTATGATAATCAATCCATTCACTGCTATAAATGTCTGCTCATAAATTCCAGGAGGAACCACCAAGCAAGAAAAAGCGAGTCGAGTCCACCAACTGGACTGGTAAGGTCTTTCTTTCTGCAGCTTCCATATGCCTCATAGTGAGTACTTGGGTGTACCACGATGACCTTTTTGTTTTGACAGACGAGGTGGATGAAATTGAAGTCTATGGAAGTGAAGCTCAGTCTGGTACTCAGCTAACCACCTACTCATTTGAGGTAGAGGAGACACGGGTGTTTGAATGATCCTTCTATAAATGGATGTTGAAATATGACAGTGTGGCGTTGACAGTTATTTTTGTGTCGCGTATGTAGGTGTGTGACAGCATTCTCAACATCGGACCTTGTGCCAATGCCTCAATGGGGGAACCTGCGTTCTTATCAGAAGAGGTACAGAAATGTTTTTTAAAAAAAATGGATTTGGATAAAAGCATCTGCTGAATGCATGAATGTAATTTTTTTTTTCTTCCGACAGTTTCAGGGCAACCCTGAGCCTGACCTGGAGGTCGTCACCTGCTCTGGTTATGGTAAAAACGGTGCACTGTCTGTGCTCCAGGTAAATCACTCGTACTTTAGTCTGGGTGTTGTGTTTGTGTTTGTGCATGGATGTTGTCACCGCACTAACTATGGACCTGTGGTGGTGAGGGCCATCTGCCGCAGGTCACAGTACAGTGCTATATCATGACTGGGTCTACCAGGGCTGCTTCAGAGATCGTCGAAGTGGCCTATAAAATACTCAGACACATTTGCGTGTGAGACAAATTATTTTTTGTGAACGACGCGCTGCAAAGTCGCACTTTTCTTTTCTGGAAAATACTTTGACTTTTTCTATTTTATTTGTTCCCAGAGGAGCATTCGACCCCAAGTTGTTACTACATTTGAGTTGCCAGGTTGCCATGACATGTGGACGGTCATCTCGAACGAGGTCAAAGAAGACAAAAAAGTAAAAAGAAAATAGAGTACTTTTACTTCTTCTTTGTGTTGTTGTATGTCAATATAATAATGCCAATAACCGTCTTTCTCAGGCAGAAAAAAGCAACGAATCTGAGGACGACGGAACAGGAACACAGAAAAGTGAAGAGGGAGATGAGGGAGAGAAAAAGAAAGAGGAGAAAGAGGAGGAACAGAGCCCAGAGCCTCCCATTGAGGATGATAAAAAGAAGCACGGCTTTCTCATTCTGAGCAGAGAAGATTCGACCATGGTACAAACTGACTGAAGTGACGGATATGAATTCAGTCGTGTGTCGTTTGGTGTAACCTGTCTGTGCTGTCGTACTAGATCCTCCAGACAGGCCAGGAGATCATGGAGCTGGACACCAGTGGTTTTGCCACACAGGGACCCACTGTGTTTGCTGGAAACATCGGTGACAACAAATACATCATCCAGGTGTCACCCATGGGTATTCGACTGCTGGAAGGAGGTAAGATGATGCAGACGATGTTTGACAAGTCAAAAAAACCCAAAAAAACATTGTCTCAGAGACAACTTCATTGACGTGTCGCTTTTCAACTATGCCTTTCAGTCACGCAGCTCCACTTCATCCCAGTGGACCTGGGCTCCCCCATAGTGCATTGCTCTGTGGCCGACCCTTACGTGGTTATCATGACGGCGGAGGGAGTGGTCACCATGTTCGTGCTGAAGATCGACTCGTATCTGGGAAAGACGCATCGACTGTCTCTACAGAAACCACAGATTCCCTCCGTAAGTGAACCATCAATTCCCAAGGTTTTCCTGCAGCGCCCCCATTTTGTAGAAAGGAAGTATTTTAGTTTTTATTTCATTATCCTACATCGACAATTTAAAAACTTTTGTTGTCGTTTTTGTGAGTTTTAGGTTATTTAAAATTACAACAACTAAATCAGCTTTTCTCACATAGGCTGATTGATTGATGGATTGTTAGACACATTCTGATACTATTTCTTTCATTACCTGCTACTTGTTTCTTTAGCAATCACGCGTGATCACGCTGTGTGCGTACCGAGATGTCAGCGGTATGTTCACGACAGAAAACAAAGTCAGCTGTTGTCTGAAAGAGGATAATCTCATCAGCCAACAGTCTGAGGCAGAGACCGTCATCCACGACCTCAGGTAGGAAACCCTAAATGGTTAATTATAAAAAATCTTCAGGTTTATATTGACGTTTTGAATGATCACTGCTCTGTATGTGTGCAGTAACGTTGTGGATGATGAAGAGGAAATGCTGTACGGAGACGCTAACACCAGCAATTCACACGCAAAGGATGAACTAACTCGTAACTCGGCAGGAGCACTGGGTGACGGCGATGTCGCCTCAAGCAAGGCCGAGCCTTCGCACTGGTGTATGATCATCAGGGAGAGCGGCGTGATGGAGGTACGGACAGAGTTACACCTCAGGATTGGCAGTTATGAAGTATGACGAAGAGGCTAATGTTGTCGATTTATCACTGCAGATTTATCAGCTGCCAGACTGGAGATTGGTTTTCCTGGTGAAAAACTTCCCAGTTGGTCAGAGGGTGTTGGTTGACAGCTCCTCGGGCCAATCGGCAGCGCAGGGGGAGGGCAAAAAGGAAGAGGTAACACGACAAGGAGAAATCCCTTTGGTCAAAGAGGTTTCTCTGGTTTCCCTTGGCAACAACCGCAGCAGACCATATTTGCTGGTAGGTTTGTCTTTAGATTTTTTTTTAATTTATATGCGTTCTTTCAGAGACTTAATAAAAGTTTTGTTTTCCAGGTTCATGTCGAGCAGGAGCTTCTGATTTACGAGGCTTTCCCGTACGATCAGCAGCAGCCACAAAACAACCTGAAAGTCCGCTTTAAGAAAGTACGAAGCTCTTACTGAAGAAACCTGAAATCGATCAGATCCGATGTGAAATTAAACGCTCGCTTCACTCTGCCCAGGTTCCCCACAACATTAACTTCAGAGAAAAGAAAACCAAGCCCAAGAAGAAGGCCGAGAGTGGGGCGGCCGAGGAGAGCCTACCTGTGAAAAGTCGGATAGCAAGGTTCCGATACTTTGAGGACATTTCTGGATACTCAGGGGTAAGACACGAAGACGGATGGTTGTCTCCGACGTTAGATCGGCGCCATTTTCAAAGTGTGTTTTATTTTTCTTTTACTCGCAGGTGTTCATCTGCGGTCCGTCTCCTAACTGGATGCTGGTCACCTCCAGGGGAGCGTTGAGACTACACCCCATGACCATTGATGGCTGCATTGAGTCTTTCTCCCCCTTCCACAACATTAACTGCCCTAAAGGCTTTCTGTACTTCAACAAACAGGTACACGCAGGTTTTCACATCACAACAGTGTAATATTACATATATTATATTGCTAATACATGCTTCTCCACACAGGGGGAACTCAGGATCAGTGTCCTCCCCACCTACCTGTCCTACGACGCTCCATGGCCGGTCAGAAAAATCCCACTCAGATGCACCGTCCACTACGTGTCCTACCACGTTGAGACAAAGGCAAGGCTCCTTTCCCCTCAGTCTGCCATACAACCGAGGCATCGGTATAGAGGCGTGACACAAATTAATGCCAAAACTCATTCCTTCAAAGTGTTAAAAGAAGTTTCTTTGAAAGGTTGAAGGAGAAAAAAAATCTTTTGGTCTCTCAAAGTTCCCTCACTGCTGAAAAAAGAAAAATCAGTTCAGGTGACCTTGAAAGGTTTGGTCTTTGATGTGAAGAGTTTGGTGTGTGACTGTGAAGGTTTCTCTCTCTCTCTCCCAGGTGTACGCCGTGTGCACCAGTGTGAAGGAGCCCTGCACTCGCATCCCCAGGATGACAGGAGAGGAGAAGGAGTTTGAAATTATAGATCGAGGTAGGACATGAAAAAAAGGTTTTGAGAAAGAAAACTTCAGCCTGTTCAATGCTCAGTATAAAAAATATGTAAATGTATGCCCTTCATACATCACATCTAACAAAATGTATATTTTACTGCTGGTCCTTAAGTCTTCATAAGTACATTAAGTTTACTTTTATTTATTATTTTATTTATTTTTGACAAAGGTATAGAAATGAGCTTATCTTTATGGAGTTTGTCATCACGTCTGTGTTTTTCATCCTGCAGATGAACGTTACATTAATCCACAGCAGGAAAAGTTCTCCATCCAGCTCATATCCCCTGTCAGCTGGGAGACCATTCCTAACACACGGTAAAAACTCTTTACAACAACAATGTGATTTTATTCACTTAAATAATAATAATCTAATATGCCTGCCTGTCTGCCTCCACAAGGATCGACCTGGAGGAGTGGGAACATGTGACGTGCATGAAAACGGTGGCTCTGAGGAGTCAGGAGACGGTGTCAGGACTGAAGGGCTACATCGCAGCAGGGACCTGCCTGATGCAGGGAGAGGAAGTCACCTGCAGAGGCCGAGTGAGCGGCACGCACACACACACACACTTGAGAACTTCTTTTATCAGTGCGTTCACACAGTGTTGTTTACAGTCCTGACTTCTGTGTTCAGATCTTGATCCTGGACGTGATTGAAGTGGTGCCAGAACCAGGCCAGCCGCTCACCAAGAACAAGTTCAAGGTCCTGTATGAGAAGGAACAGAAGGGACCGGTGACGGCTATGTGCCACTGCAACGGGTACCTGGTCTCAGCCATCGGACAAAAGGTGTGAACGTTACATGTGCAGTTCATAGACGTCAAATGTTACTTTATATCACACATTGTTGCTCACTATAATTTTTATTTTATTTTTATATGTACCTGCAGATCTTCTTATGGGTCCTGAAAGACAACGACCTGACAGGCATGGCCTTCATCGACACCCAGCTCTACATCCACCAGATGATTAGCATCAAGAACCTAATTTTAGCTGCAGACCTGATGAAGAGCATCTCACTGCTCCGCTACCAGGAGGAGAGCAAAACGCTGTCGCTCGTGAGCAGGGTGAGCAGTTTGGCATGAAAAGAAAAAAAAAAAAAAGAAAGAAAATCCACAAATAAATTATAAATGCAAGCCCTGCCGCTGAAGCAATAAAGTATAAATTAATTAAGATGCACTGAGTGAATGTTAACGCCGTGCCTCCGGAGGTATTTAGATCCAGTCGAGTTTATCTCAACGAAGCACTGGTGGCAGTCGCAGATAACTCTGGAAACACTACGTTTCTCTTGTTATTATAATCATTCAACGCTTTTGTTTATTGTTTCGCCACCAGGATGCCAAGGCCCTGGAGGTTTATGGCGTCGAATTCATGGTGGATAACAACCAGCTGGGCTTTTTGGGTATTTTTAATAATTCATTTCAGCAGCAGAAATGCTTCAGTTTAAGAAGCTCTTCAGTTCAGTTAGTTGAAATTTTATTGTCTTTTTTTTTTCAGTATCGGACCGAGACAAGAACATCCATGTATATATGTATTTACCTGAAGGTTAGTACGTGTTTGATGCATGTTTGATTTACTGAGGATAATATAAGTCACGGCCAACCACACCCCAGTATCAACACTTTAAGTTTAGGTCACATGTCATTTCCATGATTACGTTTTGACACGTAGCCTGGGGTCTCTGTTCGCAGCCAAAGAGAGCTTCGGAGGAACACGTCTGCTGAGGCGGGCCGACTTCAACGCCGGCGCCCATGTCAACACCCTGTGGCGAATGCCGTGCAGAGGAGTGTTGGACGCAAACAGCAAGAAGTCCATGACCTGGGACAACAAGCACATCACGTGGTTCGGTGAGACACCTCTTCTCTTACCAGCCGTGTTGTTGTATTTTTGGGAACTTTTTGCCCTTCATTGTGGCTCCCAGGTGTCAGTCAGACTCTTCTAATGTTTTTTTTCTTACAGCAACTCTGGATGGAGGCATGGGTTTGCTCCTCCCCATGCAGGAGAAGACGTACCGTCGACTGCTGATGTTACAAAACGCTCTGACCACCATGCTGCCTCACCACGCTGGTCTGAACCCCAAGGCCTTCAGGTAAACGTCTGCAGGGTTTTAAGATGGCTTAAGCTGCAGATGTGTTATTTGTGTTTGTTTAATTAGTGTCTTTTCGTGTCCAGGATGCTGCACTGTGACAGACGCAACCTGCAGAACGCCGTCAAAAACATCCTGGATGGAGAACTCCTTAGCAAATACTTGTACCTCAGCACCATGGAGCGGAGTGAGATTGCCAAGAAAATTGGAACTCCACAGGATTTAGTGAGTTCACACACACACTAAAACACCAACTCTTCATTCATACTCTAATTATGTATGTGGCTTTTTTGTTTGTTTTGTTTTTTCTGTCCAGATCCTGGACGACCTTCTGGAGATTGACAGAGTCACAGCTCACTTCTGAGCCACATTCCAAACAATTACACTGAGGGCAGTTGTGTTTTCTTAATTATTTTGTATTAAAAACAACAGAAAAGTTGAATGACACAAGTTTGTTGTGAATTTTTAATAGTTCAAAATGGATTTTTGGACTAATAGAGACACAGAGGTTTGACTAAAAGGAGGTAGATCATCTTTGAGGTCACAGGTCGATCTTCTCACTCTGCATTAGTTATTGATCACATTAGCCCTCACGGGTCACATGGTCCTACTACATTTTACCACAATGACACAAATGTACTTAATCAGCACTTTTTAAACATTGTACATTATTTGCATTAAGTGTTAAGATCCATTTAAACAAAGTGTGTATTTATTACTGTTTAGTCAGAATAAAACAAAATACGATGGAATAAATACAAAGATAAAAGACAATTTGTTTTAAAATATTAAGATTTTTTTTTAGATCATGCTGGTAATAAAACCAGATAACGTACATCTCTTTATTTTCCTTAAAAAGCAACATTTAAAATTGTTCTAATTCTATTCTTAGTACTACAGAGTGGAAAGGATGTTCTACTACTGTTACCGTCCTGGGGTTTGATTCACTCCGACCCACTGAGGACATGTCACTTCCAAATGTGATATGATGTGATGTGCAGCGCTGAGCTCTGCCACACTGATGAAATGTTCTTCCTTGTCAGATTGCATTAACTTGTGCATGGGTTGTTTTCTGTTCCTGCAGAGTGGAAGGGTTGTGTGCTACCTCAGGTAGTCGTAAACCTCGGCCTCCAGAGATATTAGACCAAAGTAGGACAGCAGGCTCAGGATCGACCGTGTCAGGCTCATCAGCGCCATCTCTGATCTGTAAAGGCGATTTTTTTAATTTTAAAGATGCCTTAGTTTTGATGGTAAAAAAATATTTATACTGTATTTTTGGTACAAATACCTCAGTGCCACTTCGAATCTAAGACTTTCCCATGTGGTCCTCACCCAACTGAAGAGCCAAAACCTAGGCAGGATCCCGGGTTTCTCTGCCTGGATTTTCCCCCAGCCTCGAACCGCACTGAAAAAAAAAAAAAAAAATTAATGCACATCCATCTTTTGGTTATTATTTTTTATAAACAGCATGTTTATCATGGTCAAATGATATATAAATCCTTCAAATATTAGGGTCGGTTTATTATGGATTATCAGGAAAAGGAGCTAACAGGCTAATTATGAGCTTAAAACTAAGCTTAAAGATTTTTCATGTTGTGTTCTAAAATGTTTTTTCTACAAGTCGTGTGATTTACAGCTGTGTAAGACTTGGTGGAGTGCGGCTGCTTTTACCTCTTGGCCATGGCGCAGTATCGGTCCACTGGAGCCCCCAGACAGATGTTGATGCTTCTGACTGTGTTGATATTACGGAAGACCAGCAGCATGGGTCGGGGCATGGACTTAAGTATCTCCATGATGTTCCCGAATCGGTGGATGGCCATGTCACGCATGTAGGTGGTCTCCTCTCGGCTCAGGATGTTGGACAGACCCAACTGGCGCATGTTGATGGGTCGCTGCAGTAGCATCTCACTGAAGAGGAAGTATTCTGCAGAGAACCCACAGCTTCATAACTATCTTTTTTAAAATAATTTGACAGCCATGTTACAGCACGTGTCATTCCTCACCTTTGACCCCAAGTGCATTGGAGTACTTCTCCATTGCTGCCTTGTCTCTCAGGACAATAGATCTCCACAGTTTACAAAGGGATTCCCTGTCACTGAGGTCAAAGGTCCACATTAGAGCCCGAAGCAAATGTGAGGTTTTCAGTTTGTGGCTGAATTTGAACTAATGGTGTGTCGTCCAACTCTTACTGTTGACTGAGGTATTCGTACAGGCCGTGGTCCAGCAGCACCAGCTGTGCCTTGTTGTCAGGCCCTCGTCTCACCAAAACTGGAACAACACAGTGAGAATATGAAGGAATCACCGTGGATCTATTTATATATTTTTAAGTAAGTAAGTTTTATTTAGGACGGCCTCTCCCTACAAATGTGGTTGAGAGAGCTAAATGAAGCTAAGTGATGTGTATCAGATGCTAAGCTACTCACCATTTCCAGGATGAGGATCAGCATGAATGAAGCCAGTGTAGAATATTTGTTCAGCAAATGTCCGAATCATTTTATCCGCAATCTGAAATATAAATTTCTTAACAATGTGCTTTTCTGTGTTTATTATTTACCGTAGCATTTTATATTTGTCTCAACTTACATCTTTAAAATGTAACCCTTGTTTCTTTAGTTCTTCTATGTTGTTTATTTTGCAGCCTTCGCAGAACTCGGCGGTTATAACCCTCTTTGGAAGAAGACGGCACAGAGAGGATTAAAAAGTCTTCCATGAAGAAAAATCGAGCCTGAAGTGTACGAACGACAGACTTTACCTTGCTGGTTTGCTCCCAATAGACTCTGGGTACCACCAGGAATTCAAAATGTTGGAGCTCTCGAGCACACCTTTCCGAATTCCTCGCCTCATTCTCAAAGTCAAGCTCCTGAGCCAACGTGCCCTTCAGGTCCTTAAGAACCCAGCGGAATCCGAAGGTGGGGTGCATGAATTTAACGATGTCCAGCAAAATTTCCAAGGCCCTAATGTCGCCATCAAACCTGTCCCTGAGGTCAATGTACTGCACCTGTGGAGGAGCAGAATTCAGAGCTAAATTAATGGAATACTAATGCCAACTATTTTAAAGAAAATAAGAATTGTTATATATTGTTTACTTTTATGCTGGAGATCCACGGCTCACCTTTACAGCGACTGGAGTCCCATCAAACAGTTCTGCTCTGTGAACCTGCGCTAAACTGGCTGCAGCTATCGGTTCATGGTCAAATGTTTTAAAAAGCTGCTCTGGGGTTTTGTTGAAGTCTTCCCGGAACAGAGCGTCAACCTGTTGGGAGAGACAGACACAATCCTGAGGGTCTGCACATCGTCCTGTTCCTGCGCGGCTGTGTTTGTGGTGCAGTGCTCACCTCCTTGTACTTCCTGTTCAAGGCCTTGTCTTCAAGAATTTGCAGGGTGTGAATGTACTCGGGGGGCAGGAGGTGGTTGAAGGAACAAAGACCTTGGCCAAGTTTGATGTATATTCCCCCGTTCCTGATGGCGCCCTCCACCATGTTGTCCGCCGCCCTCTGGTGGCAGGCAGACATCTGAGCCATGTAGGATGGGCTGCTCTGGCAGGAGGGGACAAAATAAGACATGATCATCCACAGCAACAGATAAAGGTCACTTTGAAAAATAACAAAGGTGAAGGTTTTCTCATAGCTCAGACATTCAGGACTATTTAATGATGTAAAATTTACCTCATCCAGGCCACGAAGAGCCACATTGCTGGTCCACCAATAATCCACAGAGATGAGGAGCCCCACAGACAGAGACCTGAGCAAACGAGGCAGGACATTTTGTCTTATGACATCAGCAGGCTTTGAGTCTCCTGTGTTTCCTGTGAAACAAACCTGAAAAAACGGCCAAATCCTTCAATCACAATCCTTATTTTCCTCCTTTCTCTTGGCTCTGACACAACATACTGGATGCCGAGAGCCACAGGTGCTGCGACAGAGACCCCAACAATTGTCTTCCACAGCAGTCCCCGGTGCTTGGCTTCCCTGGAATGAGAAAATGCTCTCGTCTTTAAGCACAAAGAGTTAGATTTAAGATTAGGCTGATGATTGGGACTTGGATTTTAGTACCTGTGTGAACTGAAGTATCTGAATGTCTGAAGTGATAATCTATGATGTGGGTGTCTTCGGAGCTGGGGCGTGAGATGCAGACAGAACCTAAACTGGAGGGAGAACAAAAGGTTTTTCATTATCATTCATAGGTTGCATTATTTGTGAAAATTTCAAATATTAGTTTTAAAAAATAATAAAATCCAGTTCCAAACACTTGAAATAAAATCTCCATTAGCTGTAACTTTTTTTATTTATTTTTTTTAGATTTGTTTGTTTGTTTAACAAATTTGCATTTATATTCACTGCTTTCAGGGGTTTTAGAAGTCTGTGACTGGGTGGAGGGTGATTCACATGTTTTGATGAGTCAAAGATTACATCAAGTCCACAAACTAAAGTGGCTTCATGAGATACTAGCCCAGATAGTGTGTTTGCTTAATAAGGTTACCCTGTGTGTGTGTGTGAGAGAGAGAGCGAGAGATCAAGGCCAACATGACCTGCCAGGAAACTTTGGTGTTTTTGTTTCCTGTCTGCATCTGAGGGACGAAATGTCTCTACAGCTGACAAATAGATGCAGAGATAGCAGTCATGTCAGGGACCTCAGCACTAACTAATCAAACGAAGCCTCTGACTCACACAAACACACATAATGCATGCACACTGAGCAACAGCTCCGACTGCCATCACCTAAAAAGTTCAGGAGAACACTCCGGTTTCTCTACCAGGGTTATAAGCGAATGCAATGCACACTGCACAATCACAGACTAAATAAATGTATACCCTCAAATATCCTAGGAAACCCACCTAGGTCACGGGTTGTCCCCTACAAACAAGTGACTTAACTTCTCACTGTACTCGTTGTTTACATGACCAGCTAGCAGTGCTAACGCACAACTTGGCTCACTGAATAGAACCAGTGAGTGACTACAGAATCTAACCCAAAATATTATGCTAGGGTTCACATAAATAATAAAGAAATCTTATCATTTTACCGTTCGTGAAGCCTCTGATGTCATGTTGACTCGTTTGTACAACAGCTCTGTTCGCACTGATCACTTCACGTGCAGTGTTTTCTCCGGATAGGAATTTGCACCGCCTCCTTCTCTCAAGCATGTCTGCTATTGGTTAGCTGACGTGAAGAAAACGGAAAATATAAGAGTGTGACCTGCCCTGTACTTTTGTTTTTGCTTCAATTTACAAAGTAAAAACTTAATGTTTTGTATATTTTCAAAATGGTACATAGCATATAAAATAAATACACTTTGTTTTGTAATAACATTTAAGTGTGGTAATAATTAGGCAAGGGATATTTAACTGTGAGAGTCATTTATTTTGCTATCATATTGTCAAAAGCATGTCATTTAGTTACAACCAAAGGACAAAACGGATGAAATTAAACACAATAAAAAACACAGTTGAACAGGTTAAAAGTACAACATCGCCTCAAATGACAACACTGATATTGTCAAATAAAAAAAAAAAAGATACTGTACGTGTTTACATTACTACGGCTTTGGGTTTGCAACGTAGCCGGAAATGCATTGCTCCACCTCGTGTATCTTCCTGAATGCTCCACCGGATGCTGTAGTGACCTGTGTCGCTGCTGTATTGCGCTTTCATGTTTACGGGCGGGAAGAGCGAACATAGCAGAGTGTTGGAGCTGTTGCCTCCAATTTGGTTCCACATTACTTTTTTTTACGTTGATTTTTGTTTTGGGTTGGCTGTTTTACCGATTCTCGTGGGATTAAGGGTATCACCGGATACATTCAATTAGACTGTTGTTGGAAATTAGAGCGATTATTGCAAAGGTTGGGGCAGATGGAGGACCCTTCTGCAGATTCTGGTGGTGGCGGTGACGGTGGTGCAGCAACCGAGGGCCCCGCGGTGCAAGTGGCTGATATCCGATGGCCGACAGGGGGTCTACCGCTTCGGCTGCTGGAGTGGAAGGTCAAACCCGGATCTCTCATTAATGTGGACTCTGTGTTGGCGCTATGCGTTCCCATTGCACAGGGAAAGGGGGCAGAGAATGCCAGGCTGCCAGAGAAGAGGGTGAAATCGGATCGGGCTGGAGTAGTGAAGGAGCTCTGCTGTCAACTTGGACAAGTCATACCCCCAGGGTGAGTCACTCTTTAGGCGAAGGCTGAGTTTAGCTGGGTTATGTTTGTTTTCCTGTACCCTGCTTGGGAAGTGGCAACATGTCAGCTGCGTGTGTTTTCCCCTCTGTAGTTCCGGATTTCACCCACTGTCAGAAGCTTGCTAACAGGCTAATACTGTAGTGTATGTGGTGCTAAGTCAACGTTAGCATGTTTGCTATCGTGTCTCTAAACACATCTGACCAAAGGTCCGAGACTTTCAAAATAAATGTGGAGCAAATTAATATCTATTTGATGTGTTTTGTTGTAGTCACTACTATTATTATGGAAATCAGAAGTCTGCAGCAAAGTTGAATCAAACACAATGCTTTTTTGAAAAGTAAATAAACATGTGTCCGTGTTAGCATACACCTGCATGGCTTTATTTTGAAGCGTAAAACCACGTGTTTTGTCTAAAGCAGCGTGCGACCTGTTGACATCAAGGTTACTGTCCATAACATTATGGGGTTTACTCTAAATAAAGTAAATAATATGTGACAGCAATGACAAGCTAACGTGTTGAAAACAACATTTTCATCTCGCATGTTTTTGCTTCATGGACTGCGATTTTAGCTCAGCATCTCCAACTAAAGTACTTAAAATATATAAAGAAAAACGCATTTTTTTTCCTGAACAATCTTTTGTCAAAAATCATTCACACATTAGTTTAACGTTGAAACTTAAAACTTACTTTCAACTTTACTGTGAAAGTCCCTTTAAATAACTAAAAGTATATTATTCAAATGCACAGAAAGAAGTAAACACAAGCAAATAAATAAATACAAGAAAGAAGTAAACACTGCAATCCATCAATTCTGCATTGTAGTGTAATACAGGAATGTTTTTGAAACAAATTAATGACACACAACATATTAAAAACTTATATAATAGAAATATAATAAATAAAATAAAATATTGGAAAAAGTAACTATCATGACTAATAATTCTTAGAAAAAGACTAAAATATACTTGTTCTGTCACTGTGTAAATCTGACATTCAGTCACGTGATTTAACCTTGTACACAGATGTACCAACTTAGTAATTTAAAAATAATGTCTTGCATCAGGGGCAACAACATCCACAGCCAATTACCAAAAAGACTTGCAAAAAATATCTTATTGCATCTTTTGCACTTGCATATTTAACTACCAGGTCATTATTAACCATGCTTTGAGTGATTAGAACAATATTTCCCTCTCTTTTCAGTTAAACCACTGCTTTGTAAGCACAGCATCCTGAAGTAGAAAAAATAGACTTAAATATGTGAAGGAGCTTTTGAGATCTTCTAATCTTTTCTCAAAGTAAACATTGAAATTTGACCTCTATGTTAATGTATGCAGGCTGGTACAGACATACATGTGCAAACATCATCCGCATATTCAACACTTCCTGGTGATGACAGAAAAGAAGTCTATTGTTATTCTTTGCTTTGTTTGATTGAATCTTTATTGTATGTTTACTTGGACAATATATTTCTGCAGACATCTTATGATAACAGAGTTGTTTGCATTATTAAACGGCTCCCTTCTGTACTGTGACTAATAACCCTTTTCTTTCAGTGGGGTCATTGTCAAAATTGAAGAATGCAGCCACCCGGTTGTAATGAAGGGTTTGTGCGCTGAATGTGGACAGGACTTGACTCAGTAAGAATATATCTTTTTATTCCCTTTGAATTTTTTTTGTAGAGACCTTTTAAATCATCATTCAGTTATTTCTAAGATGATACTTTAGAAATAAAAACGTATTATTATTATATTACTATTGTTATAACTTATGTTTAGATTTGATTGTGGTTTGTACAACTAATGTGTGGTAAGTATATTTTATTGCCAACAGGTGGCACCAGAGACTACATAATGAGAGCTGAACATTCAATAAAATTGACTTGCAACCATCAAGCCACACTATGTGTAGATATTAAAGTACTTTATGTATTCATACAAATTTTTTTAGGTTTTTTTTTTCCAGACACAAAAAAACCATGCCACTAAGTTTCACATCTAGGGCCTGGAATAAGAGCAGTCTTTGGAAACAGTAACTTGATTAATAACACCAAAGCCAAACTCAGTGTATAGAAAATATATAGTCTTCTGTGCAGCAAAATATTCAACGACTAATTAGTTAATTAAGTAACGACTAGTTAAGTTACTTTTTCTTCTTATCCCCTGCAGACTGCAGAGCTCCAATAGGAACAAACACGCTCCTATTTCCACAGCAACGGTCTCCATGGTGCACAGTGTTCCGGAGCTGATGGTCAGCTCAGAGGTGAGTCATGTGGCTGAGTGTTGAGGTATGTGATGGATGTATCTGTAACTCCAAAGTAATCTCTTCATCATCACTAAAGTGGTGTTGAAAAGGGCAGGTATCCCAGGCAATTACCTAGGACCTTGAATTGAAAGGGACCCCGGGAGACCACTGACACTGGTCTATATATCAGTGAGAAAATGTTTGAACTGCTTTAGTTCACTGCAATAGTTGCTCTTGGCGCCCCCAGAGTGTGTAGAAACACCCCTGACCACAGCATCTTTAACAGAACCCTGTATATTTTCTGTGTTGTTATTCCCTTTCCAGCAAGCAGAACAACTAGGCAGGGAAGACCAACATAGACTTCACCGGAACAAAAAGCTGGTCCTGATGGTGGATCTGGACCAAACACTGATTCACACCACTGAACAGCACTGCCAGCGTATGTCCAACAAGGTATTAATATTCTCCGCATTCTCAATTGTGCTTGAAAACTTAGTAATTTATTATTGGTAAGTAATACGTGGATCATCGATGATCATAGGATCTTGTCACTATTGTTTGTTTTTGTTTTTTTAGGGCATTTTTCACTTCCAGCTCGGGCGAGGTGAACCTATGCTCCACACACGACTTCGCCCACATTGTAAGGCTTTCCTGGAGAAGATCGCCAAACTCTTTGAGCTGCATGTCTTCACATTTGGGAGTCGCCTGTATGCCCACACCATAGCTGGTAAATGCCTCAATGTATTTTTAACAATTTTGAAACTGTTAAAGGAGTGCTTGTCAGCCTTTGGGTCGCGACCCTATGTAGGGTTGTCTAGAATTCAGATGGGAATCGTCTCAAATGTCTAGTAATTGATAACAAAATAAAACATTTTCAGTGAATTATTATTCTCTTTATTTAATTCTACAAAAAATGTATCTGGTATGGCAAGAAATTTGTTATGTCAAAATGGGATCACAAAGCAAAAAAGGTTTGGAACCTCTGGTAAAAGAATTCAATAGACTTCACAGCGTTTACTTGTACTTCCTTTTCTGTCCACACGAGGGTAGCATGTAACCAGTTTTGTATACGGTATGAAACAGGACCTATTTTTTATGATGGATTTTCTATGAATAGTGGAGGCATACAATTTTCAAAAGCCTAAGAAACCGTTTTTTTCCTTTTTCTGGCCACTGAAAATGGTGTTCATTCACTGGGAAATTATTGTTTATTTCCAGTACAACTTTATGGACAGCTTATTGACAAGTGTGGCTCCACTCTTAAAAAGGAAATGTTTCTGTTGATTGTGTTTAACTTTTAGGAAGTGAAGGCTTCGGGGTTTGTTTGATTTCCTTATCTTCATCATCCATACTTTATATTGGATGTAGACTATGGCCCCATTCTTATGATGAATGTTGATGCATTTTGAATTGGATTTAACTCCTGGCTGTGAAGGTGGGGCATATGTTTTACACCAGTGCAGTAATTGACAGCTTCTCAAGCCGGTTATTGGATCATCTATTCGTTTAACTTGTTTAGCTTTACCACTTCTCATGACTATTAAATATTTCTAACTGTACAATTCTGTAACAAGATGTAAAATTCAAATCATAATTTTTAGAGATGGAAGTTCATGGTTGACTCCAGATTTTATATGTTTCCTTCTTTTCCTTTGTTTTTAGGCTTTCTCGATCCTGAAAAGAAGCTCTTCTCACATCGGATTCTTTCTCGGGATGAATGCATTGATCCTTTCTCCAAGACGGGAAATCTGAGGTGAAAATTGGTTTCTGCAGCTAGCTGATGGTCACACCCATATGTTATCCTTCAGTTGACCGTGCATCTGAATGATGTCAAATATTGTACATATGGAATTCACAAAAATGCACTGCTGCTGAAGTGACGTTGCGGCCTAAAGGAAATAAATATCTGTCCATTTGAGTTTGGACATGGGTCATAAAGCTAACCCCCATGACTGTTCCTTTGTTGCAGGAATCTTTTCCCTTGTGGCGATTCAATGGTCTGTATAATCGATGACAGAGAAGACGTGTGGAAGTTTGCACCCAACCTCATCACTGTGAAGAAATACATCTATTTCCAAGGCACGGGGGACATCAATGCTCCCCCAGGGTCACGGGAAGCTCAGATGACAAAAAAGGGTAAACTCGACCTACTGAATTTATGGTGTTTAATCTAAGCCTGGTATATTAATGTTATATTAATAGGCAAATTATTTATTGACCATAAATAGAATTTAATTTCATAAAGTCAAAGTATTTTCTACATACCACCTTTGTTCATGAATTCATGAAATAGTTTCCTTTACATAATCTTATTATATTTCCCTCTAGGAAAAAATCCATATAAAAGCAATTGGATTGATCTCAAACTTTGAAAATTTACATTTGGCAAAGAGGAGAGATGTCAGCAGGCTATTGTTTTACGTTCGATTCCTTCAATTCACGTTTCCATAACACACTGAATCACGCTGGCGTAAAACAAACAAACAAACAAACTGGCAGGTGTCCAAAAAGGAGGGACACATTGTCCTAAAAGGTTTCATTATGTTTTACCTGCGTCCGTCCGTTCCCCTGACACGAATTCCTCATTAGAACCTTTGAACCATGGTGTTATACTCCTCATTATCAGACTGAGAAATGTGCTGCCTGGAGACAACAAGTGTGTCTCCTTGGGAGCTGTGGTAGGACCCCCTCAATTCCACCCACTCTCCCAGGCTGTCACATTAATTAGCTGCTAGCTCCTGGTGGTATCACTCCACCATTTCAACAACTGCCAGCCTCGGTAATGGTCCATATTTTGTTGATTATTCCTAAGGGTGAAAGACAAGCTTTAAACATGGTGGAGAATAAATCTGTGAATGAATTATATAAATTTGAGTGTGGACAGAACGCATCGTAAACACACATACACACACTTTCTGCTAATTCTATTGTGACAAAAAAATAATTAATTGTTTTGGTCAAATTTATAAATCATGATTATTTAACAATTTAATTAAAAAACATTGCCTTTGTTGCACATTATAAAAAGCAAATGTGATGTCTTACATTATACCTCCCTGGTGCATCTTATTAGATAGACAAATTGCAACCTAAAAACATGTTTTGCAAAGCACAGTTTGAACATAGCCATCCTCATCCAGGGGAAGTTAAAAATATCCACCAAACAAGCCGGTTGATTGTGTCCATTCTAGCGTGCTCTGCCTTTTCAAATAATTTTAGGCTCCTCTTCAGTCCAGAGTTTACAGCATACTTCTAGCCCACTTAAAATGTCCTTTCTCATAATCCCTAATTCCCGTTTGTATGCCAGCCCATTATTAAGAAATATTCTGTACTTCAAAACATTTTGTGATTTTTGACGGGTTTACGACTTGACCCTTTTATTTCATGCTCAGGAGGATTTACTTACACTGAAGTACAAGTGTGCAAAAAGGATTTAGATTTGCCTCAAAGGAAGATTTCACATCAGGAAGTGGTAATGGGGCAGCCGGAGTAGCTTCCTGAGCAAAAATCTGGGTTATCCTTTGGGTAGAATGGATGTTTATAATGGAGCTTTCAGGAGGAATTAATATGTTTTTGCTTCTCTTGTGGGGAAGAAGGACGTAACCACCAGTGCTGAAGTGGATGTTGACATTTGCAGCAGCAGCAGAAGTCACAGCCTACAGTAGAGCCTCTGTAAAGCTGGTATCCAGCTGTATTGTCTAGTGTCCGCGGCCTGCCACTGTAGCACAGATGAATTAATGCAAATTACATTCAGTACATAAATAATGTTTTGCAGCACAACTAAGTAAAATTGGATGATTTTCTCTAGTACACCCCACACTCACTGGTTCAGTGTGCTTTGTTGTAAAACTGATTGCTCCCTAAACCTACAAAGACACATTTTCCTTCTTTCAAGGCTTGAACCAATCTGATTCACTTTGCTTTTTGTTTTCAAGCTGGAGGTCCTTCAGTTCGGTCAGCAGAGAGCACAGAAACGGCAGGGACGACAGCCGGAGCGGAAGAGCATAATAACGGCCTCAGGAAAAAAGCAAAAGACAACAATATTTCTGGAAAGGATGAGTCGTCAATATCCCTGTCTTCTCAGAAAGAACCAGCAAATGAATGGACTCATGCCAGTAAGGGTGTAGAAGAGGAATCAGGACAAATCAAACATTCAGTGAACGAGGCATTACCTGAGGCTGGGTTAGGAGTAACTCAGGAGCCTGATAGGACGGCAACGGAAGCCGCTAACAAAAAGCTGCAAGAGGAACAGGAAGTTACAAATTCATCATCAGTCAGGCAGGACTCCAATAACCTGGACTTTGATCTTTCCAGTGACAGCGACAGTGAGTCGTTCACAGAAAAGCCTGCTTCTTCAGAGAGTGATCATGAAAACATATCCTGCAAAGAAAAGACACCCGGTTCAGAAGGCGATATCCATCAGTCTGTTGATGGGGAAGAGGCAAAAGTGGCGGACATTAAAGAAAACAATTCTGATATAACAGAATCTTCCGACGTTCTTTTGCCCGATCCAGAGCTGGGCAATGGCTGCTCTGACAGGAGAGAGCCAGAAACGGAGTCCCAAAATAGTGAGCTGTCTGGGGTCACTATGGGTGAGGAGCTGCTGGACCAGAGTATGGAAGATGATGATGATGAGGAGGACGAGTCAGACATTGATCAAGATGATCACCTGATTTATTTGGAGGAAGTGTTGGAAAGGATCCACGCCGAGTACTTTGCTCGCTACGAGGCGTACCTGAGAAAAGAGGCTCCTGAAATTCCAGACATACGTAGGATTGTCCCAGAGCTGAAAGGTAAAACACTGCAGGACACAATGATAGTCTTCAGTGGTCTCTACCCCACCAACTACCCCATTGAAAGGACTCGAGAGTTCTATCACACCAAAGCCCTGGGAGCCAAGATCAGCAAGAAACTGGTTCTCAACTCCCAAGATCCCAACTGTACAACACATCTTATTGCAGCTAGAGCTGGTATGTTGAAATCTACTGGTTATCACAACTAAATTTGTGTAGCAGTGTATCCGATTTGGTATTTATAAGGTTCAAGTCACAGTCTTTTCACTTATTTTTATTTTATTTTTTTTTGGCATTTGATTTGTCAAAATATGTTTCTGTGATGCCAGTGTTTTGTTCCGAGGATAAAAAGGATTTTACATCATTTAGAATGTTAAAAACCCCCTGCAGCCAATATCCTGGCATTGTTCTTAGAGACAATAGGCTAAAACAGCACAGAAGCCCAGTCTTCTCTGGACACATTTCTGCAAAACGAAAAGATAAAAACAAACCCAACATGAGGCTTTTTGTCCATGATGATAGAATACAAATTCTCACTGCTGGGACAATTTAAATTCCATTCCAAACACCCATCTACTTCTGCATTTCCACATATTATGTCTGGCTTACAAAAACCAGCAAGCCAAGTGGCGTCTTGCTGTGGGAGGTAAAACCACTCGCAGCAGCACTTGGAAATCAGTCTGTGAACAAGGAGAGAAACATCAGTCACATGTGCTACAAACGAACAGGTCACTTTGATGAACGAGGAATGCAGGAAGTGTCACATCCTTGGGACAGTCGAACTAAATTGACTGGTGTTGCTCGTGTTAATTAATCTAATCAGCCTCTACATTGGTATTGTATTGAACACCCTGAGCCATTAAGGAAAAAGGGGAACAGATCAATGATGGTCCTTCTAAAGTCACTTTAAGGTCTGCACAGCATGTACACTTGTGTTTCACCACCCAGGCACGCTGTACAACAGAAGGTTGATTCACTGACCCACCTAATCCACTTGATCGGTCTTAATAAGTAGATCTTAACTATTGTTCCAGGTGGACTGATACAATCCAGGTCTAATCTAAGATCGTGTAAAAATTCAAAATTATATATATGTAATTTTTGGGCAAATATGTCTTAGTTCTAAATGTATCAATATTCGTTATTTAATGGTTTTGTTCAAACACAACACCATGGTGTTTTAGATTTATTGGGAACTATTGAGTTGGAAGAAAACAGGTTCTCCATAAGACAAATCCTCCTTGTTATCTTTTCTAATAATATTGACTAGGCAATTATTTTCTGTGTTTTCACCCTAGAAGAGAAAGACTGGACATCGATCTGAATGACTTAACAGATTCAGCCAGAGCTTATTTGGCCATAAAAGCTTCTTTGACCGCGAGGTTAAAATCCTTTTTTTTTTACCACTCACTCCTCACACAGGCACCGAGAAGGTTCGTCAGGCACAGGGCTGCAAGCACCTTCACGTTGTCAACCCTGATTGGCTGTGGAGCTGTCTGGAACGCTGGGAGAGAGTGGAGGAGCAGCTCTACCCACTGAAGGAAGACTACTCCAACACACCAAGGTAAAGAGCCATGGGTTTTGTGTTGTGATGTCTTAAGCCTCAAACCAAATCCACTTTTGTATGTGTAATATGTTTTTGTCATATTTCTGTTTTTTTCATCTCTATTAAAGGAGCAACAGTCCATCAGCTTTTCCGGACAATCAGGGTTCCTTGCTCAAGACTGTTTTCCAACCACTTCCAATTCACCAGAAACCTCAACCTCCTGCCCCAGAGGTTCGAACCTACGACCCTGTTACAGGGAAGCTTATTCGCAGGGGCCCTCAGGTGTCTCGGCCGTCATCCTACCTCCAGACATCAGCATCTCTGTTGCTGTCAGATCACTCGGATCAGTCATGTCTCAGGTATAAACAACACATTCAAAAGAAATGTTTCTCTTCTTTTACAACCCATTTTAAGAACGTTGCAGTTTCAGATATGTCCGTGTGGTGTTTTTCACTTTTAGTGCACAGGTATAACAGGTATAGATTGGCCAAAAACTGAATTAATAGTTACACATAAGAATTTTCAAATCTAGAGATTTATTTTCTGGGCCTTTAGTCCATTTCTTCCATCTCTATAAATCAAACTGTAGGTGTACCGTTGTCACGCTGTGCAGATTTCTCCCTGCAGAGACACTCAGCATCTCCAGCTCTTAACTTTTCTACAATAAAGCCCTTTTCACTGCCTGAATTTAATTACACGTGCCTGGAAGTAAACCCTGGTTACGGCAGTGTGTGGTCTGTTGCTCCCATAAAGCCACTGAACATCGCTCGTTAGAGTTTTGGCTACTTTTTAGGACTCGTCTCTTAACATTGTAGTGAATTGCCTGAAAACCTTTTCTTTTTTACATCTATGAAGTCGTATCAACCTTTGTGATCTTCTGATCAGATCCTAAAAAAAAAAAAGATCTGTTAAAAGTTTTTAAGCCGACTTAGTTTTCTATATACACCGCATGAGCCAACCTAATGCATGAAATCTTCATAATATTTGTGATGATTTATTTTAATTAATGATGGCAAGCATAAAATTGGACGACTTAATTTTAGAAAGTGTGGAGATCTTATAAAAACAAGTGTTTGTGTTTGAACACCAAGGAGGATCTGTTTAACGTTGTACAAAAATGTACATGTAGATTAACTTTGTCTTCTCCCTGTTTCACTTTCATTATTCTCTTTACTCCCCTTTGCAATTCTCATCACTGATCTAATGGTCGGCTTGATGAAAAATGTGTTAATTATGTTTAGTGTCTGAAACCGAATGCAAGTATCTTGCAAAAATGAGATACGTGAACAGAAAATAGTTCCACTTCGACTTCACTGTTTTATTTCCAGTGTGGCTTACGATATAAAGTGCCAAAAGATGGCATCCATTTAAATTAAGTTATTGCTAGTCTTAAAGGACAGAAACTATACATGTTAGAATTTATACATGTTTTTTTTTATTTCAATTTTCAGAATGGTTAAATGCTGTTGTACTTTAATAAAGTATTTTTTTAAACATCCCACAGGGGAAATTCAAACAGTCTGCAGGAAGACGCAGGAGAGATCAACCAGGACAATGAGCAGCCGGGACCGTCTCGTCGAAAACGACAGCCGAGCATGTCAGAAACCATGCCTCTATACACACTTTGCAAGGAGGATTTAGAGAGCATGGACAAAGAGGTAAGAACTATTTGTGTTAATACATCAGCATTAGCGTTAAATGTGTCATAGAAAAAATGAATGGCATATTTGTTCGGATTTTACACCAACTTTTAACTGTCCTTTACGCTACAAAAAATAAATACAGGAAACGACAGATATTGGTAGTCAGAATAAAATTGGTCCAATACAGTCTTTCTATGCTGCAAGGATACGGCAATGAGAGTTTGACTTAATGATCTGCACGTCCATGCGATTGGTCACGCTCTGAAAGACAAACTGACTCCTCTTACTAGGATGCAGTGTTCACTTCAATTCTAAAGTAAAATAACAGTGAAGCTGCAGGCAACGACTCAGTCTGACTGCTGTGCGATACCTTCTTGGTAAATAGGCTTCTAACTCTCCTTTTTTCTGTTGTTATTATTTTATTTTTATTTTTTTTATATTGTGCAAAGCTGCAACCGGAACTAAATTAAGCTGAAGCGTGGCAAGAGCAAATTTGTAATTTCCAGGTAACTGTTTCATTTTTAATTTAAATCTCTCAGTTGATGGGGCTATTTTTGTAGACTTGAGGCTTGGGTATGATGAACTGTTGTGTGAGATGTATATTCCACAATATATTATATAAACCTACATATCGCCTTGAGCTGAGGTGACGATGTTTAGGCACAAAGATTTAATACACCTTACTTTTGAAATCCAATTCTAAGAGGTTGCTTTATTTGACTTTTACAATTGAGTTGGTATCTGACTTGTAGACTTTATTTGAAATATATTGCGTTCTTTTTTGTCCAAAACAAAAATGAAAAGCATTTAGTTGAATTGCATTTTGTTTTTACCCCTGAGTGCGAAAGAGAGAATGCCTGCTTTTAGAGAAAAATGTCTTGTTTATAAACCTAAATTGCAGCCACTTCTTCCTTATAGCAGTGAGACAACAACACTGACTACTAAGACAGTGCTGTTGCAAATATAAGTATTTTTATGTTGCTCAGTAAAAGTCATGCCTTGAAAATATTATCAAAATATATCAAAATATTAGCCTTAAGCCTTAAGCAGAAATTTCTATACCTACATTATCATCAGTTCTCAACAGTCCAAAATTATTATTATTATTTTTATTTGTTATTGCTTAATTGTACTTAGATACTTCATAAATGGTATAAATAAGATGTGTTAAAATGCATTTTATAGCCCCCTTTCTTAGATGATCTGATAATTCACTATAACTGTTTTCAAATGATAAACTACATGCAACATTTCTCTCCTCTGTTCTACACACTTGTGATTTTTTTTTTTTTTTTTTTTTAATCAGGCCTTTTGTACAAGGATGGATTTGAGCCTTGAAGGCATTTTTTTTTAATCCGGCTCACTGGTCATTTCAGTCCTGTCGAACACAATGGTGGTTTTATATTGATTTGGTAAATAGGGTGTTCAATGCTCACTTTTGCTTTTTATCTCATAACACCAGTAGCACTTGTATTGACATTTCAATGGCTTCGCCGCAATTGAGCAGTGATTATTTGATGAGGTCTAAGCCCCGCCTGGTTGGTTTTGATGTATTAAACCATTAAACATTTTATTCAAGGCACAGCTTTAAAAAAAAAAGTCTAGAATAAACCACGTCACTGAATTTTTGTGATGCTGTATAAAAACCTACATAACTTTGCTCAGTAAAGGGAGTATTATTCATTTACTATGACTATACTACTACTTTTTGCTTCTTTACCAAGCAATGTTTTTGTCCAGACAGCACATTTTCACTAAAACCTTTAAATCTATGAGGCAAACACATGTTGAGAAATGGTTTAAAACGGACATATTTGGAATCAGTGTTGAACAGCCTCCAGCATCCTTCAGGCTACTGCCATGCTGTTGGCACCCAAGGCTAAATCTTGCTACGCATGGAACCAGGGACTGACTCAGGGTTTTGACTCTGAACGCATGACTTAATATGGAGGATGTAGTTTTTATTTATAATAACCAAAATAAATGGCCACAATTGTTTCACTTTTTTTTTTAATGTGTCATTTGCAGACACATTTCTATTGGATCACCTTTCAAAATAATAATAATAAAACTGCATTATTGTTTTCTTTGTTCCTTTTCAAAATACGTTTTTTTTAGGAGCTCCGTCTCTCATTTAACCACCATTTCCAACGCCACACCAAGTCAAAGTTAAAAGAACGCCTAATTATTCCAAGCTCCATGAGTCACTGGATAGAGAGCAATCCTAAGACGGAGTAAGGTGAGCGTTTAGACACAGGGCGCAGGCAGGTTGGTTGCTGGAGGGCCCCTCAGAGACATGGCTCATTAATTCCTAGGATCACAGGAGCTCAGTCACGGTGATCCCATGTCTTCCTTTACCTGCAGGTATTGATCTAAGTTCTTAGCTGTGGTGAGAATTAATCCTCTGGAGTTACTGAGGGAGACAGGAAGGAGACGCTTCCTGATGAGTCCAGAGAACAGAGAAGGTTATAACAGGCCTTTCAGTTCTTCACAGCTTCAGCTTGGCTTATTTCTGCAAACAAGCATAAAAAAAGGAAGATTTTTAATAATATATTCTCTAGTGATGCATCGTGAATCACTGATCTTATTTTTTTAGGGTACAGAACAGCAAAATTAAACGGCATAATGACTTGGTTTCATCTTAAAGCCAGCGAGAAATAACCTGTGTCCTTCATCACCCGTTTCATGAATTGTTATCATTATAAACCTATAAAAACCCATTTGAGGCCATTTCCATTATAAAATCCTCCTTTTACAGCTCTCATCTGGTGGAGACTTAAGCAATAACCCACTACATTAGCCAGACAATGAATGCTGATTGACTGGCTGCAAATGTATTAATCTCCTGCTGTGGGTTTCTTGCTCCACATAATTCTCAGAATGTAGCTTCCAAGTCTTCTGCTGTATTATTTTTTCTTTGACCATTAACGGAGAATCAGTGCTCTTTCAAAACTTTACTCTTGATTGACTAAAAACGTCTGCTTTTACGGAACATAACAATAAGGACGGGGTTTTAAATTGATTTTTCCCTTTGAATAAAAACATGCTGTATAATGTGCGTTAAGTATTTTCTGACCTTCGCTTTTCTTTTGGTCTATATAGCAGTCAACAAATACTTTGTATACAGAATGCCCGTGCTGCAGCTGCAGCAACCGTTGGCCTTATTGTTATTATAAGTTGGCCTTGTCTGAGCCGGAGCTCTTTACTCAGGACAATAGCAGTTTCCAGCCCTCGCAGTATACTCTTGGTTTGTTTGTTTCTTTTGCTGCACATAGATCTTTTAGTGTGACATGCACCTCAGGCTGGATTTAAGCATCTGATAAAAACATTTCTTTCCCCAGTCTCAAAGTAAAGCTGAAAAACGCAGCTGTTTTGCAAAATGTTGAGTTAGCTTCCTTTCTTTCTCTGTGCTTCCTAAGAGATAAATATGGATTGAATACTAAATTACACTGATATATGTTATTGTTTCTTTATCCGTTCCAATGAAACAATAAAATTGTGTATTTGTGTAGTAGTAAAAATAATAGGAGAAGCACTTTTAAGCAACCGATGCTACACCAGATCTATATTTTTGACAATTTTTAAAGCTTACATTTTTAAATTTTTAAAGCTGTCAAGTCCATTCAGACAATTTTTTGTGAATTTAGACTATAAAAATAAGATTGACTCGACTCGACTCACTGTCCTTGTAAAAAAACACAGCTGCATTGTGTAGCAAACAAATACACTTTTGAAAGACGTTAAAAGATAATCTCAAAGTTTGGGCAAAGTCAGAAGTGCAGACGTTAATGTAAGAGTGTTACAATGGAACGGAGCAGTTGCAATATTGTGTTGTCATTTATTTTCTACCGTGAAGGAAAAACAGAGAAACACGTGTGTGTGTGAGGCACAAGGATATAAGTACAAACCTCGGGTTCATATCAGAACAGTCACTTCAGTTTGATTATTTTTTCATGGTCAGGTCGCTGCAGTTCTCACTGTTCATCCACAGCAGCATTTTTTCACATCTGCCATCTGTGTTTCTTTTTTTAACCTGCTGTAGCAGTCTATATGGCACCAGCCTTACCCACAATCCAGCACACCATTTTTTGGCGGGGTGTCCAATATACCATTCTGTCATCACAATTATATGTGTTGACTTTAATTTGATTTATGGACATCAATACAGATTGAGACAACATGACACAGCAGAGAAGTACCTTTTTTTTTTTTTTTTTTTTTACTTTTAAATATGTGTTTCTTTTTCAATGTCTTTTAATCTTTCACTGTATCATCAGGTATTATTTTTAATTTGGGGTAAAATAATCAAATAATAGGATGGTATTTAAAACAAATCTTGACATTTACTATTATATAAAATACTTTTTAGCTTGGTCATTGCAATCTTTCTTGTTATTAATGTCACATTTTTCTTTCTAATTGATGCACAGCTTATCCCTCACATCAGGGGTGGATAATTAGGTCAGTTGATTGGTCAGTCGGGGTGTTCTGGATATGTTGGAAGAAAAAAAACCTGCAGCCACAGTGGCCCTTTGTGCCCAGGTCTGCCTTAGATGTTAGATTTTCACTGAGAATTTTTTATGCATGGACAATTTTTCCTGACATGGCTCAAAGCCCATGTGACTATTACCATCATGGTGGTGTAGTGGTTTGTAATGCAACACTGCCTGAGGGGGTTAATAATCACAGTTACTCTGGTAGCAGCATCAATGAACAAAGATAACATTTGCTGTGAATGTGGACTCGACTGTTCCCTTCTAGTAAACCAGATACCAAGGATATTTGACTAACTGCTACGAAGAAAAGGTTTCATTGTCTGAGTGTTGAACTTGGATAAGAAAGCAAGAGAAAAGATGGATATTTATTATTATATCTTATCTTATTATGTATAGCTCACTCAGTAATTTATTATCCTCATTTAAAATCCATTCATAAAACAGCTGAGCTGTTCATGACCAGTGACCTTGGAATTGTGTAAATGGTGAGCTCTTGAAAAACAAATTAGATGAGCTGGAGCCAGAGTTATCAGTTTGGGCTGTTATTGCAAATGGAGATTTGAGTCTGAACTCTTTACCTTTGCCTGAGGCGAGGTTGTTTCCTCAGGGCAGCCATCTGATTTAATGACTTTATCTCTGGAATTATTGTGTCTTTTAAGGTGAAGCCAAATAAATCAACCGTGGTTTATAAAACGCTTGACAATTGCATTAGTTCACTGTGGTGTTTTTGACATACATATTTAGTTTTAGTCTTTTTTTAATTAAATTTTTAATTAGAGCAAGGATAAGTGAATGAACAGTGGAATTACTGTGCCAGGCGTTAAAATGCGTTGAAAATTGTACTCACATTAAACTTCAGAAACAGATGTACAGGCGTAACGAGTTAATTAAGACAGCCCTAGTCCCTGAATTTAATACGTTATTCTGTGCTGCATTGGTTGATGTTACTGAGCAAGGTTCCGCGGCTGATCTTAGATGTAATAACTTTTCAAAGTACAGTATAGTAGAATATTGAATCATTCATAAAGGAGGAATCACCTCTCTGTTCTAATTAAATGCTTAATTAGAATTTGCAGTGCACAGGGTTCCGGCTTGATGAGATTATCCTTAAATTACATTTCAGTCTTTTTTTTTAATAGCTGTGAATTAGCATTGAATGGGTAAATTTATTTTTTTCAACATTTTGTGCAAAATAAATTCCCCAGCTGATGAAGCTCTTTTCTAATATGACAAAAAAAAAAAACAACAGGTGGACGACATCTTAGGTGAAGAGAGTGACAACGAGAGTGAGGGTCGAGGGAAGGAGAAGCCAGGTAATGAGGAGGTTGAGGATGAAGAGGAGGAGCAGCAGCAGCGGCAGCATCAGCATCGGACAGAAGCTGGAGAAACAGAAGACACTGTGCTTATTCCTCAGGTGCAGAGCGTGGAGGAGACATGTCTGACACTGTCAAGGGAGGCCAGTCATCTGGGTGGTGTATCAAGGTGAGACACCTCGTGTCTAACAGAGCAAAGTCATTTTATTTCGTTTTCCTTATTGACACATAGCAGTTTTACATCATAAAATTGCACTCGGTGGCTTTGAAAATCCCATGCATAAATACACTTAATATTGACAGGTCATAATCCTATTTATTAGTTATCATTACACAGCCCTTTACGAATGTAGCTTTGCTGAAGGTTGACAGACTTGTCTGTTGCCATGGGGAGTAATTCCGAAAGGCTGCCAAACAAGTAAGGAACATATAAGAGTCTCTTAGTGCTCAAGGATGTGCCGGGGTGCCATTGAGAATATATTAGTCACCAAAACGTTCTCTGCAAAATTATACAAGAAAATTGGAGAACAGAACAGTCTACATGTATTTTGTCAGGCACTAATACCTCTTAGGTACTGTAATCTAAAATAGTACAAAAAGCACTGGATACCTGGGTATGCGTTTGCAAGTTGTTTAAAAAAAAAGTGGGATATTGACATGGCTTGTTTCTGTGTGTTGTTTGTCAGGATTTCTATGAAATTCAGATTTAATTGAGGATATTGTGTTCGCTTCTTTTGAGGTTGTGAACCTGTCAGAATATCAATCTACAATAGATCAGTTTTTTCCTCCAGAATTTCTGCCTTTTTTACCCTTGTTTCTCAGATTCTCGGTGCTTTAAAGTGGGAAAAAAAAACAAAAAACTTTTCCTACCATTTTCTCCACCCCTGCACTTACTCCCAGACACCTGTTTGCGGTTGTAGTCTCGGAATTTACATCCTCTGGGGCTTCAGCAAGAAGCAGCAAGAGGAGTGTTTCCGTCTACCTCCTCCTTTGGGCCTATCAGTCTCTGTGTCACCTGCTCTGCCACGTTAGGTGGCGACTAATAAGACGAGCCAGAAATACACTGTGCACAGTGTTGTTTACTGGTGCTGTGTAGAAGGCAGCTTACACAGCTAGATGTGGATGATAGTAAGTTCTACTCTGAAAACATCGTGGACGGTGGGTCACCGAGGGATCATCTCCAGGAAAACAGCGATATAGGCTATCCACATCACAGCTTACACTACTACAGTCGTGGGTGGTACTGCCAAAATGTGTGTCAGTGTAGTTGAAGAAAACTTTCCTGTTCATTTTTGTTTTATATCGTTCATTTTTTTTATAAGTTTATAATTATTTTGTCAAATGTAGATAAGTTCATCCTTGATGCGATGATGGCTCACAGTGAAATTATTATTCTGTAGTAGCTATAAGTTAAGATAAGACGTCCTTTATTCGTCCCACAGTGGGGAAATTCACAAAACTTTTGCATAAAGAAACTTAAAAAAATGTAGTGTAGGCTTCCACGCTGGTTCTATCTCAATAATCCTGTGTGCTTGATCACTTGAGGTGATTCAAATGACACTGCAACGTATGGAAACCATTAAACGGTTCAGTGATATTTGCATTGTAAAATAGATACAATAGATGACCTACTATTCTTCTTCACACCGTCAGCATGTTGCTTCCTGCACCCAACGATCAGTTAGTCGGCCAGAATTGTTTTTTTTAAAACAGACTTTTTATCAATGCGGTGAAAGTGTTGTTGTGTTTGTAGTCTTTTCATTGTGCTTTCCATTAAAGTGAGTCGTGGGTAATCATTTTATGAAAACCATTAGTGAGCTGCGTTGGCAGCTAATGCACTAATCAGGTCCCCTGACATCACAGTTCCAGGCAGTATGCAGCATGTAAAAAGAAGAGCAGTTATCGGCATTAGAGAGTTACAAAGTAGCATCTCAGATGAAACGAATGTAACCAGCACAACCAGTTTCTGTCTAGCAAATTCAACTCTGAAGTTTAAAGCAATAAGTAGATATAACAAAATATAAATATAATTGAATTGTCTGCAGTACAGACCATATATTGTAAGAATTGAATCATATTGTGCCATAGACTTACACAGGGTTTAATCAGTACCCCAACCTTTAATATATGTATATAAAATGTTTGATTTGAATGAGTTAATATGTATTAAACATTTTCAGTGTGGGTAGAAGTGTACATTGGTGCACATATTAGATGAAAATATATCAGTAAATAGGGGATGTTTACATCTCCTGCTATTGAACTCGAGGTATCTCGAGGCACCACTGTATGCACACGGCAAAGCCATTTCCAATGTACATCAAAGTACATTTTTGGTCATTTCATTAATAGTGACATTCAAACATGCCGTGTTTTAAATGTCAGATTTAAGTTGTAGGAAAGAGCTTTCCTTGAATTTATCTCCGTGGGTAAGGGAAATATGTAGCAGGACTTAACAAGGTGCATGAGTCTGACACCGAGCTCCGAGCTGTCTGCCACACCGCGTTAACATCATTCTCCAAGCTGAAACTGAAAATAATCGTCTGTGTTGTTATAGTGGGTAATGAGAGACGGTAAATGTATAGAAGCCACTGAGTTGCTTCCTGAATTAGATGCGACTCTGTGGGACCTTCAGGAGCCAGTCTAAATCGTTCCATTCTGTCAGACTGCATCCTAGGCTCCGGCACTTTCTGATATTTGGCATAAAATAGTCGTCCATCTGTTGCTAAGATACCGTGGTGATGTGAATGTGTGTGTGTTTTTCCTCCACTATCATTCACTGTCTGCCACTGCCTTTCTTTCTTGTGTCTGATAAAGTAGGGGGGGAAAAAAAGCTGTCATTTCTGTTCTGTCTGTTCGTTCTACGGTAAACCATCATCGCAGCATCATCACCGCGTCTCAAAGAGCAATGTTATTTACACCTAGGTTTTCTCGTTATCTCCCACATATTTTACCATCTGTAAACAAGACATTGACTTTTTCCATTTTCTTCATGTTAATACTTTCCAGTATATTGTGCTCTCTGATGAAACACTCGGCCTATAATAGAAGATGGAAATCTATTGTGTGATGACAGTAATGTTAAAACTGAAGCTGGAGTTGTCATAAACATTAGAGAAAAGTGATGAGGAAGAAATAAGCCTTCTGTTTGATTTCAAGCTAAAAAAAAAAAAAAAAAAACAAACAAAAAAAGATGATGTGAACAACTAAGTAGCTATGCTATTCTTCTATTGTTGGGATTTCAAAAGTCTGAACTTGAAAAGAAGCTTTACTTTTAATTTTAAAGCCTATTGCTCTTTTCTGTAGTAGATGCAAGTATAATATCTTTACTGAACAGGAATTTAACAAAGATATATATTTCAGATTATGCAAAAGAAGGCTCCAGAAGGCTTAGATTAATTGACAGTATATGTGGTGGGCTGACAATGTGTCTTAATACTGCATTACCAGTGTATTTCCAAAGTCTGTCCTCTAGTTTAACCGTAGCCCGAGGTGTTTTTATGCCTGACCAGATCGGACTCCATGGCTGTGTTTTGCAGTTATAGTTGATGTTAATTTTAGAGTTGTTAATCTTGGCTTACATCAGCTGTTTTTCTGCAAACAATGTGCAATGATGAAATCCTAGAATACTTAAGATCATTTTAAGAGGTTTTTATTACAGCAATTTTACTGTTTTTATACAGCCACTTTAGACTCTAAAAAATATATGAACTGGAGTTTTTGTGTCCAGTGGAAAGGAGAAAATGTGACCGACTCCAGAAGTTTGTTTTTCCACCTTACTCGCTGTATAAAGTTTTATGTTTTGTGGTGAGAAGGAGCTCACTTCTGAAAGCTTGTGGCTGAGTGCTTAATGGAGCATGTCATTGTATTGTGTGGATGAGCGGCTCCGTCACAGAGCCTCTGAGCTTTTAGACTGCATTTTAAAAACCAATGATAATGAACTGTGAAGTGAACTTTTTGTGACTTTTGTGCCCCGGGAATATAAGAGCGACCTGCTATTTTATTTTATTTTATAAGCTAAAAATACAATTACTATGTTTCACATATATATTTTTTCAGCACAATTTTAGAAATAAGTTTAGTTTATTGTTTTAAATACAACTTTTTAACTCCAAATCCTTGTGTTCGCACCTCCCTTTCAGGATGTTCAGTGGGCATTAAGGGTCACATTTTCCTCTGTTGGCAACAAAAGTTTTATCAAGCCTAACATATGCTTTAAAGCTCCCTCTGAGCACAGCCCAGAGAACGAAACAATCACTGCATCCCTCCTAGAAGGAGAGACTTGGCCTGTCGCCTCCTTGCTTGACTATTGGCAAACTATTCTCTTTGCATTGTGACTGCCTTCATACAGCAATATTGATTACACGCGTAGTTTTGCAGTAAAAAAGTTATTTTTTGATTGTAATTAAATGTAGGTTTTTACTAGTTCTGTCCTCAAAATTATACCTTAGGACGTTACCTGGAAATAAAAAAGACCTTAGGGATAGCAGTTTTTTCTGCCGAAGCTCAGGAACATTACACTCTGTTCCTGTACATAGAGTCCTTATACTGCAGGTGCAGCGTCAGCTTGTTCCACCACGAGCCGTCATGGCTGTTGTTCTTAACTAATAATTGTTTTTACAAGTGAAAAAAGTGCCTGCAGGAATGTGTCACATAATGGTGCATGTTCGCCTTTTCACGACGTTCTGTTCTTGGTGCAACAGCCATGCACAAACTGGAGGCATATTCAGAAAAACCTTTCCACCAAAGAAAGGCATCGCTGCACAGCGTGCAAGAGTTTTGCCTCGGGCACTGACGCAGGCATGTTCAGGTATGTAGTCCACATGCTGTTGAAGCAGTATTTGTTCTACGTTGGATCTGCCTGAATTATTCAAGCTCGCATGTCCCATTGTTCTACATCAGATGTTTCTTCATACATTCATAACAGGGAGTTGTGACCCTTACATACATATGTATGTACTTTTTGTTAAGTAGAAAGGGTTGGTTAGCAGGTCAATTTGTTTATTTATCTTGATGTCTCAACATTGGGATGTGTTTGTGGTCAGGGGCGACATTGAACAATATCAGCGCACCAATAGAGCTGGACCAGTTCTAACCTCTTGCAGTCCCTCTATTCACTCCGCTCACTCACTCCACACACATCATTAACTCAGATTGCTTTGTTCTTCT